AAAAAAAAAAAAAAAAAAAAAAGTTCACAGTTGAAACTTAAGATGAGTAATTTGGTCAATACTCTAGTCAGTTCAGAGGAAAGAAGGGTATTACTAATTTCATATTCTTCACTTGTACATTGATGACTTATCTACAGACCCAAGAATCGGGTTTTCTGTTAGTGTTAAGATAAGAGAAAGTATAAGATTTTACCAAAAAGAAAATATTCGTTTAGGAAGTTGTTGAGGGATATGCTAATGAACTGAAAACTAAAGTTGGATGAAAAAAAAATCACCTTTCACTTAAACTAACTCAGTAGAGACTTTGAAAATTTACAGACAAATCTTTAATACAAATAGTTTATTAAGACATCTGATATTTTGTGTACAGTCGTTTCAGTAATGATTATTAAAGGTTTAGCAACGGTTAGTCAATTCAGAATTATTGTGTGTACAGTTTCACAGACGTGGGCTTGGTCCATTGTGCCGATACTGATTTTATAGCATTTGTAACACTAGTTTTGCTGATCATAAACTGTGGTTGTCAATAATTTCTAGAGTGTTAAAAGGGTTAACTAGGAAGAGGAGCTGTTTGTACACTCTTGTTGTTAATATAATTTAATTTTAAAAAGTTGTACAAGTTTTCTTTGGCTTTTAGTTATCCCTTTCTTTCCCTGCTTTTGGTGTTGTAATTAGAAGCTGATTTATTATTCACTGATGACATTTCATAGTTACTTGGCTAGCATGCTGTCTGTGAAGTGTAGACCGAAGATCTAATGGGTGAATAGTAAGAACTGACATCTTGGAATTATTCTAGCCTACTCGTGACATTGAGGAAAACTAGGCACTTTCATTATTGGACTGATGATGATAGTCTACTCTGATGACGCTTTGAATGGTAAAAGAGTCGTATTACTGATGTAGATATGTTGTAGAGGACACGTGGAGCTAGCTTTAATTACATTCAGAAGTTGTATGCTACATGGTTGTTTAGTGTTTAAAATAGATCCAGTCTGCATGAGTTATAGATGATACATGATTAGATTCACTGTAAGTGCGTATTCTTTAGAGAAACAACAGTCGCATAGTATAGGTGTGTCAACCCAAAGTTGTATGTACTTTTCTTGTTCACACAGTTCCAGCCATTTTGAGCATGTGTGAACACTTGCTCTTGTTGAAAATGATGATGTGTTAGAAACTGGAAAGTACATTTATTGGTATGAATTTCACTAGATGGTTATATATATCATCATCCAGGCAACAGTTACCAAGGTTTGCATTGTGTGAAATGTTTAATGGACACCCATGGTTTCCATGAAAAACCAGTTTTACTAGTTAAGCCTACAACTAATGTTACAAGATGAACTGAATTTCTATTAAATAACCAGAACATCTTACATTCTCTCTATCTTCTTGAGCCAGTTTTTATACTTCGATAGTAATTTTCCAAAAGAATGAATTTTTCCATGGTTTAACATTGTATTATTTCAGTCTTGTTATACTTGCTGTCACTTAACTGTAGCTATGACGGCTAACTTAGAACAAAATTATATTGTTTCCCTCCTTGTTATGTTTGCTGCTACTGGACTGTAGCCACAACAGTTGACTTGCAACAAAATTATATCGTTTCCCTCGTTGTTATGTTTGCTGCTACTGGACTGTAGCCACAACAGTTGACTTGAAACAATATTATATCGTTTACCTCGTTGTTATGTTTGCTGCTACTGGACTGTGGCCACAACAGTTGACTTGCAACAAAATTATATCGTTTCCCTCCTTGTTATGTTTGCTGCTACTGGACTGTAGCCACAACAGTTGACTTGAAACAAAATTATATTGTTTACCTCGTTGTTATGTTTGCTGCTACTGGACTGTGGCCACAACAGTTGAGTTGCAACAAAAGTATATTGTTTCCCTCGTTGTTATGTTTGCTGTTACTTGGCTGTAGCCATGACAGTTTACTTAGAAAACTTTGACTTTTTTATATTTTTTCATGTCCATTGAAAGTTGTAAATTTGTGAATGGGAATAAGCTATAGAATTATTAAACAATTTTTTAGCATTGAGTGATATCCAACATTATTGCAGTATTATTAAAACTAAAGATTTACAAACTGTGCAAAGTAGAAAATAGTTTGTTTGAGTGGCTAACAGAGTTGATTCTTCAACCCATTAACTGCAGCAGGAGCAGCTCAGTTGCCATTTTCTGACCCACAGATAAAACTGAGTTGCCATCAATCACAATAAAACGGTAATTTTCGTTATTCGCATAGAGTTATAGTTGTATATGTGCGACGGACGAAAATATCTGTCATCCGCAGTTAATGGGATTAAGGTGAAAAACGTTTTATTTTTTTAAAAAAAGGGAAAAGTTACTTGAACATCTCATAATTTTAAGGCTGAAATATGGCTATAATTATAGAGATTAATGAAATTAAAAGAATTGTTATCATTACATATTTAGAAATAGTTTTGACACTTAATTAGCTATCGTAATTGCACAATATTATAACAGAGGATGTCGTCAAGTGCCAGCAAAATTTAAAACTTATTTTAATCAAGATATATATTAAGTCATTACTGCTGAAAGAATTAATGCAGGAAATTATTCTTTTTTGAAGAATGTTTTCACATTTTCGGAAATCCATTCTCGATTATTCATATTCATAATTTCACTCCTTAGAAGTGTCGGTTGTTAATTTTAACTTTTGGTTACGTTTCAAGAATGATAGCACTTTTAACATAACCTAATTATTTCCAAAACCAAATGCAAATATTTTAGGCCAATCAAAATATTAATAACACATTGAAATATACCTATAGGAAGCTCTGTGTTATAGCAAGAAGCAACAGTTAAAAAATCATTCTAACTATGAGAAGCTTTCAAAGGAGTGACGGGTTTTTATTAGTTTTGTTTTCAAGAACAACAGTTGTAAGTGAGAACTGAAACATTGTAACTTTGTTAGGAAGCCTTTGTATTAAAACCATAAACTGTTCACTCACTGTTTGGAGATACAGAGCTAAACCGCTGAATTTATTATTGCTAATAATGCCAAACGTGTTATTTGTCCCAGTGACTTGAAAACGTTTTATATTTACAAAATCCACTGTGTTTGAAAAGGCTGATGTAATATAATGAGGATTAAACCAAAATTTACACTTAACATTTTTTATGTCCCATTGAAAGTATGTTAAAGGTTCTTATGATTTTTAATGAATAGCTGTATCACTTAAATAGCCTCCCCAGTGGTATGACTGCAGGCTTATACTGCTAGAAACCGGGTTTTGATACCCGTGGTGAGCAGAGCACGGATAGCCCTTTGTGTAGCTTTGTGCTTAATAACAAACACTTAAATATGAAGAGTTGATTATCCTCTGAACTTTTCCAGTAGAGCACCTAGTGATTAGAGGATGCTATTCCCTCTCCGTGATTTGTAAATGTTAAGTTTCAATTTGGAGAAACCTTAACATATTTTAGAAACTCGTGTTAACTTGTATTGCCTCTTGAACGTAAGTAAACTGGTAGTAGATAGGCTTTTTTTTTTAACATTAAATCTTGATTTATAAACTCTCAAGAGATGCCCTGACTTTTGGCACAGAGATTTCAAGTAACATTTATATGCAAATTTCTGGAGGATTTAAATAAAATGTGTAAAAGAAAAAATTTTAAAAATCTTTATTTGTGGATTGTCAAAAACGTAAGCAAGTCTGGGCTCCAACCTCCTGGAAAATGTATCGGGGAAGTATATTTTTCTGTGTCACAGAACATAAAATATGAGATCACAACATGAAAGTGAAATACAGAAGTTAAAATACAAAATCTTTCATAATCACAGAAAAGAAGAAACCATCACATGTTCTCTATCTGGTACAGTTGTCATTTTAAAGGTAAATTCTTCCTGAAAATCTAAATTTTTTTGAAAATTAATTTGTGTGGGAATCCTTCAAGAGGTGTAGAAATACATTTATTTGTAGACTTTGACCACCTCTATATTTTATAAAAATTTTGTTGATATTCAGGAAGCCTATCAGTATATTTTTTGCTCCTATCTTCTGGATTTATTGTTTCATGAAGGTTTACGTAATTGTAATTTAAAAACTCGAAAATAAGTTTGTGTCGTTCATTAAGTATATCACATATTTATAATTTCGACGACCGAGAAACTCAACGTTACGTAGATACATCCCTAAGTCTTAGATCTAGTGCCTCTTTCATTGTAATAAAATTACAGAGTTAAAAACAGTGAAGAAATTAACTCTTGTTTTGTGAGTGTAAGATTATATCCATTTGAAGTTTCAAAGAGTCAATTTGGGGGTGTAACAATCTCATATTTGTGGCATCTTGATGATTGACTAACAAATCATGAGTGAAATTTAAATTTAGAGAAATTAGGCTTGATGTTCTGGTGTATCAAGTGGGCTTTGGTAGTACTGTCAAACTGATGTATGATGGTAGGCTATTTCTTACAGACATGGTTTGGTAGTACTGTCAAACTGTTGTATGATGGTAGGCCATTTCTTACAGACATGATTTGGTAGTACTGTCAAACTGTTGTGTGATGGTAGGCTATTTCTTACAGACATGGTTTGGTAGTACTGTCAAACTGTTGTATGATGGTAGGCCATTTCTTACAGACATGGATTAGTAGTACTGTTGTATGATGGTAGGCCATTTCTTACAGACATGATTTGGTGGTACTGTCAAACTGTTGTGTGATGGTAGGCTATTTCTTACAGACATGATTTGGTGGTACTGTCAAACTGTTGTATGATGGTAGGCCATTTCTTACAGACGTGATTTGGTGGTACTGTCAAACTGTTGTGTGATGGTTGGCTATTTCTTACAGACATGGTTTGGTAGTACTGTCAAACTGTTGTATGATGGTAGGCCATTTCTTACAGACATGGTTTGGTAGTACTGTCAAACTGTTGTATGATGGTAGGCTATTTCTTACAGACATGGTTTGGTAGTACTGTCAAACTGATGTATGATGGTAGGCTATTTCTTACAGACATGGTTTGGTAGTACTGTCAAACTGTTGTATGATGGTAGGCTATTTCTTACAGACATGGTTTGGTAGGACTGTCAAACTGATGTATGATGGTAGGCTAGTTCTTACATACATTGTTT